CCCTTGAAATGGAGCTCAAAGTAGGGGAAATGTTTGATTTTTGCCAATGTTCAAAAGTAAACAAATGATGTCATTGTCCAATAAATGTCCAACTAGCCATTCTAATATGCAGTCATGAATGGGTTGACATTATTTATACAATTATTACAATATTGCAGTAGTCTGCATAACAGTAAATCTTCTATTTTTTGTTTGAATAAAAATTCAAAATAGAAAGCAAGAATAATATCAGAGGGGCCTGGAGACGTGACTGATGAACAAAGAAAATGTTATTTTAGAGCCAGAAATGTCTGCATTGTTCATTCTGGACCCTATTTTGAAATTGTCATATTTTTTAATTTTTGTGAAATTGGCCAAATTGCAAATTTCTGACCATGTTATTGAGTAGTTGAAATCAGTAAATGGGCAGTTTCTTGTACTCAATCGATAGAAAAAATGGAGTTCTAAAGAAATAGCTGAGTTTGGTTGACTGGAACAATGGAATTAGACGAAAATAGGGCTCAAAATGGGTGAAATTGCCGGTTCGTAAATATCGCCGAGGTCGCTAACTTCGCGAGAGCGTAATTCCGTCAGTTTTCCATCAAATTTTCGTTCTTTTGGTGTCATTACAATCGTGACAAGTTTCTCTTATTTCATAAGTTTTTTTTTTTTTTTTTTTTTTTTTTTTTTTTTTTCAAAAAATTTTCGACACCAGCAGACTCCTCAGGATTTGGGGTCTCGACAGTCAAGGGGTTAACTCACTCTCAGCATCAAAAATTTTTCAAAAAAAAAAAAAAATCCTATAAAATAATAGAATATTTTTCTGATGGTAATGACACCAAGAGTATGAAATTTGATGGAAAAAGTTACAAAATTACGCTCTCGCGGAGTTAGCAATGTCGGCAATATTTATGAATCGGCAATTTCGCCCACTTTGAGCCCTATTTTCGGCCAATTCCGTTGTTCCAATTGACTAAAATCATAACTATTTTGCTAGAACTCCATTTGTTCTTTTGATTGAGTACCAAATTTCAAAATAGGGCCCAGAATAAACGAGACAGACATTCCTGGCACTAAAATAACATTTTCTCTGTTCATTAGTCATGTCTCCAGGCCGCTCTTATATTACTCTTGCTTTCCATTTTGAATTTTTATTCTCACAAAAAACAGAAGATTACTGTTATGCAGACTACTGCATTATTGTAAAACTGGTATAAATAATATCAGCGCACTTGTGAAAGAATATTAGACTCACCAGTTGACGTGTATTGGACATGTGGCGTGATTTGTTTACTCTTGAACGTTGGCAAAAATCGAACGTTTCTGCTACTTTGAGCTCAATTTCAAGGTACTTTTCATTGTGAAACCAATCAATATCATCTCTATTTCTGTAATATATCTTCCATTTTATCAAATGAGACGAAGAAAAAGAGAATACAACCATAAATACCACATGAAAATACACTGCAAAGCCGGTTTTAAATGAAAAAGTCGGGTTTTTTTCTCATTATGCACTGCATGCTGCAGGATTTTTTTAGTACTGTGCACACTGGCCAGGCAGACCCATTCTTTCATATGTAGGCCTACCAGCTTTCTTCCACCAGATTTGAAGGTGCTAGAATTTTGGCACATAAATACGGGACCGACACTGGCCATCAAGCCGTACATATACCGGACCGACTCTGTAAGGGTTAAGATACCTGCTGCCCCTGTTCACTGAATAGTAAATAGGTACCTAAGTGTTAGTTGACTGGTGTGGGTCACAGCCTAGGGACAAAATTAATCTAATTTGCCCAAAATGCTCTGCATAATCTGGAGCTTTCTATATAGTATGTCATTGATGTCAGCTAGTCTGTATACATTGTACATGTAGAAATGAAGACTATTAATATCAAGGTGATGTAATCAGTTCATCACCCTTGAAGACAGTTTTGAAGTGGTCAATCCCTCAACCTGGAGGAGCAGTGTGAAACTGAAGCATCAGAATGAAGACCTTTATATTGCCAAAGGTGAGGCACAGAAAATGTTGATGCCAGAAGAGGCAGAGCTCACCAGTAGAAGTGAGAATGTAATAGCTGAGAGGCATGGTAACACACATACTGGGTAGGTCCTTCTCAGATCCAACCTATCTCACTTGTAATAGTGGTCAGGCAGTAAATTTGTTGAAGATGTCCTCTGTACCAAGATACCATTGTGTTGCACTATCAGACACAGCAACACTATAGTATCCTGGTATAAGGACATCTTTGACAACTTTGTGAGAGGGTTTGGATTTGAGAGGGACCTGCCCAGTAGGCTTGCTACACTGGCTCTCAATTATATATTCTTTTCTACTAGTAGGGTCCACCTCTTCCGCCATCTTGAATATTTTCTGCGCATCATCTTTGGCAATATGTCTGTTCTGATGCTTCAGCTTCGAATTATTCCAGACTGTGGAGCAGAACACTTCTCTAGGCTGAAAGACACACTTCAAAACTGTCTTTGAGGGTGATAGCCTGATCACATCATCATTACATCCCCACTGCTTTTGCTGCCTCCTTTGTATTCAACTGAAGAAGCCTGTGTAGGCAAAACGTTTCAAAATAAAGATACCTAACTATTGCACAAGTCTTAATTGTAAACGTATTGGCATTGTATATTATTCACAGCTTTTTCTACATCTCTCCATATATTTGAAAGCTATTTTAGACATAAAATATTTAAAGTTGTAAATTGTGACTAAATTGTTTGTAAAGCTAGGTCCACAGAGAGACACTGGCGATTGGTATAAAAATTAACTTCATTCACTTTTAAAATTATTTTGCCCTGTCTAGAACAACCCTAACGATCTGAATTTTTTTTCGTGTTCTCAAAATACTTATTAAAAGTGAAATTTGCTTTTTTGTTTAAATCATAAAGTGCTACTTACAAAACTCCCACAATATTCATCAAAGTATTTTTTTATTTTTTTTAATTATCAAGTCAGTGGCACAGTCCTCAATTTTGGAGAAGTCGGTTCAGGACACGGGATATTAAATTCTAAAAGGGGGAGTTTAAAGGGAAGCTCTCCACCGGGAAAAAACGTAAATTAAGTATTTTTTTATAAAAAAAAACTTTACAATACAGTGGACCCTGCCCAACGATTTTAACCCCTTCCGAGGGGTATCTTAGTCAAAAATTACGTTGTCGGTTAATTTTCCCCAAAGAAATAAGGAAATAAATTTAAACCCTGCAAGCACCCAAAAATATGAAAAAAAAAAATTTACCAAGAAAAATTTAATTTAATGCAAAGAATAATTACAAAAAACAACAATAACAATGATTAATAACAAGAAAAAGACACTACCTTTTTAAGATCTGGTGGTGATTGAGGATGGGGAGGGGGAAATATGGGTGGGGTTTGTGTTTAAAAGGGGAATCTCCTTCCATTTGGGCTTGAGGTGTCAAGTCCTTGAGGACATTGTTTTTTCCCGAACCCCCCTGGGGGTTCAAGTGAACACCAATAAAGCTTTTCCCCTTGAAATCACCACTACTTAGACACACACCACTAGTTCAGGGTTTTTTTAATTAAATCGCATGCATCTCCTAGCCTTTTACATATGATCGCTTGAGACATGCTGTTCCCGCTATCTGTTTTTCGTTTTTCCCCCAAAAACAGTCTCTCAACATCTTTTATCACTTTCGATCTCAGTTTTAAAAAAAGTTCACCTTTGGCAAAACAGCTTCCTTTATTGCTGTTTTTTCTTCCCCCCAATAGTAGCGTGGTTTAAATTGGGGGTTTTTTTATAAACCCGGCCACTCGGGGACATCACTCCACTTTCCTACTTACAATGATCTTTTCTCAATCCAAAATTCTCACCCTTTTGCTGTAGGATTGGCACTAGAAGCTTTCTTGGGGCCCATGGTGACTTATTTTGCAGGTGCAATCACTACAAACGCTGTGATAATATGAAATGTTCCGATTGTATGTTTGGATGGGACCGTGGTGGCTGGCTGGCTTGTAAACACTGGCCACAAGTGGACGCGTCTTGGATAGAACGAATCGCGTTGGTCGAGTTTTTTAGCGCTAGTCGAGGCAAAATTTTTGCGTTAAAATGTATCGCTAGTCGGATTTAGCGTTAGACGATGCTAGCGTTGGTCGAGGGTCCACTGTAATAAATATTTAAAAAAAATTTAATATATGTTAAAAATTGTAATGTGTTGGTGAATAAGTTGCAATGTCCCTGTATTGAAAGAATATCCGGTATAACCATGTTAGTCGTGGAGATATGGTCATAAAGATATTGGAGACAAGTGGTTGTTGGATGATCTTGTAGGGAAGGATGGTGGTAAGATGGTTCCTAAGGTAGTGGTTGTTAGTGTTTGAAGTTGTTGCTATGATGTTTGTGTCATAAAAGTTAGCCTGGAAAAGTCATAGGCATCTGCTTGGTTGCAGGCAGTGTATATAAATGCAGCATCTGCTTAATTACTAAATCCATTGCATAAAGTTGCCGCACCAGAAGTTACATTTGACTGTCAATTTTTTTTCCTTGGTCAAAAAAATCCTCATTGTTATCTTTTCTCTTATTATTCTTCTTCACTTTGGTGTATTTTCTTGTCATCTGTGAATCTTGCATATCAGTTCTACCTGCTTGCCATAATCAAACCTTGTGAACCTCTTGTCAACAAGTTTAAACTCAAGTTATTCACTACTTCTTTTTGACAACTTCAGACATGCATTGATGATTGGTTTCTATACCAACATACTATGATGTTGCTGTGTAACAGTATATATTATTGATGGTTCAAATTACTGACAACCTGATAAGACTCAAGTGCAATGCTTTGGCATCTTTATTGGCAAAATGTTTCAGTTAAAGCTTGCAGCTTAGGCAAAATGTTTTGGGCAATAAAGATACCAAAATGTTGCACAAGTGTCTTTATTCCTCAGCATGTCAGTGCTATATACCATCAGTCATATGATACCTATACTTATACACAAATAACCCGCACATAGAAGAGAGGAGCTTACGATGACGTTTCGGTCCAACTTGGACCATTTACAAAGTCACACTAACCAGAAGTGGAGCACGACAGCTATATATAGGCAGGAAGAGGTAATGGTGGTAGTAGTAGTAGTAGTGGTAGTTATTATAGTAGTAGTAGTAGTAGTAGTAGTAGTTATAGTAGTAGTAGTAGTGGTGGTGGTAGTGGGGAACTAAGGAGGAGGAGCCAGTCAAATATAAAGACAGGGGAGCACTGCAAGGGAGCTAGGTGCCCACAGAGGGAGAGCAAGTGCACAGAGGTGGGGGGAAGGGGAAGTGATGAAATAAATAATGAAGGAGCAGAAGCATGCACTGTGCACTTGCTCTCCCTCTGTGGGCACCTAGCTTCCTTGCAGTGCTCCCCTGTCTTTATATTTGACTGGCTCCTCCTCCTTAGTTCCCCACTACTACTACTGCTGCTGCTGCCACCGCCGTCGCCGCCGCTGCTGCCTCCTCCTCCTCCTGCCTATATATAGCTGTCGTGCTCCACTTCTGGTTAGTGTGACTTTGTAAATGGTCTAAGTCGGACCGAAACATCGTCATAAGCTCCTCTCTTCTGTGTGCGGGTTATTTGTGTATCGTTCCAGTCACGGTATTGTGCCTTTTTTTGTTATTTATACCTATACTTATTTGACATAACACCATGGTATCTGGTACAAAGGAAGTCTTCTGCAACTCCTTTGTTAAACAACTGTTTCGCATAACCTACTGCCACCAATGAGCCATGCTTCCCTGTGACATCACCACCAGCTGCTACACCTCACTTATGTGCCAATATATAAGGTCTGGTTGCATGCCTTTGCTTTAGGCTTCAAGGATTGATCTCAAAACTACTACTGCACATAGGAGAAATATTTGACAATAAAGATAGCCATGTGTTGCACATGTCTTATTCATGAGTTTGTTGATACTGTATACCATCAAGAATATGAAAAGGAACCACAAAGTTTAGATGAAGCATAAAAGCAAGATACATTACATAGATGACACTGGGGGGAGGATGCTGTTGAGGTAAAAGTATACATCTTAGCCTACTTAAGTGCTGCTTTTGAATCAAATCATAATTAACATACACATGTATTTTCATTTACAAAATTGGTAATAGATTTTTCACATACTTTGAGTATTGCTGACAGCACTTGAATAGCATATTCAGACAGCATTTGTGGAATGGTCTTGCTGTTTCAATAAACATTGCATGACACTATGTTGGATTCAGTTTATTACAGAAAGTTCTGGTGAGAGCCCACAGCCTTTTTTCCTCTCAACACTTAGGCCTCCAGAGTCTGACTGGTAAGAGCAGGCAGCTCTGAGGTAGTTAAATGTTTTCTGCATGCACTGAAGTAATAGACTTTCGTATAAATTAACTGTCAATAAGGCTATCAATGCCTTGACTGAGGAAGGGCGTTAAATGAGGAAATTCGAGTGACATTCCCAACTTAATGAATAACATTTACATTTATCTTAGTTGCTGATGAAAAGTTTTTCATCTAGTGTAATAGTTCACAAAAAAATTTATATTTTATTTTATAAATTCTTCTAGGTTGAGGTAGAAATCATCATGACCCAGTTGCTTGAACCATACCCAGCCACCATCCAGCAAGGAGAGAAGCAGCTAGTCCGTTATGCTGGGAATCATTACGTCCTCAGCCCTTACACTACCACAACCCAGACAACTACTGTTACACTTCCATCTCCTAACATTGAATCCTACTCACGCCTCAAGCCCACTACCCACACAGACACTTCAATAACATATGGCCCATATGATGGTGTTGCTGGATTCTCTGAGGTAATAATTCTTGATTTTTAAATTATCCTACAGTTTTGTAAATTATTTGCATTTTAGAATTCTAAGGATACTTAATGGTAGGCTTTAATTCTTTTAATTGAGATTGTTAAACTGGCTTCCCTCAGTTATTTAATAAGTTATTCATACACTCCCTTCAAATTCAGTGCTTCATTATTTATGGGTTTTGGTTGTCCAGCTTTTGTTGATATGTAACCAGTGAATAGATTCAGTTATTCAACATTTTTATGGCTTGATAGATTTCCCACCTGGTGTTATTTGAAAATGCCAATACTAACCATATTAGTGATGTTTTAGAGATATTGCCTTGAGATTCACATTGAATCGAAATGTAAAACAAAATTTACAATAATAACATAATTTTGTGTTATTCTTGCTTTTTAGTTTCTCTGGATCTAGGAATGTAACCCCTCCTTCCCCTCCCCCATCCTCTGTATCTGTAGGTATAACTGTTATATATTATATACTTGGTAAATGCCCAGAATGTTTAATTCTTATGGTCCATTTTCAGGATCCCATGAATATTCATTTTGAAAATAACTCCCCGTTTTTGGCTGTAACAAAGCTTGAACGTGTTATTGAAGTGTCCCACTGGGGCAACATAGCTGTGGAGGAAACCATTGATGTTTTACATATTGGTGCCAAGCTGAAGGGCCCTTTTTCACGTTATGACTACCAGCGTGAACATAACAGCTACTCTAGTATTAAGTAAGTTTAAGTACTTTTTTGTAACTTTTTTTTCTGTTAATTCATTCAATTGTGCATCACATTCCACTAATGTCTTGGCAATATAAATTGATATTTTTTTTGGCAAGTTTACAGTGGTTAGCTGTAAATTAAGTATAACTCAGACTGTGTGAGGTAATGATGTATACTGTGCTAAAATAAGAAAATAGAAACCCTTGGTATTAATATAAAAAACAAAGGTATGAGGTAGGGGTTAGCAGTGTTAGTTGAGAGTAGTTTTTTCATGAAAGTGTGATTGATAATATAAGGGCATAAAAGTTTTTTTTTTTTTTTTTTTTCAACAAGTCGGCCGTCTCCCACCGAGGCAGGGTGACCCAAAAAAGAAAGAAAATCCCCAAAAAGAAAATACTTTCATCATCATTCAACACTTTCACCACACTCGCACATTATCACTGTTTTTGCAGAGGTGCTCAGAATACAACAGTCTAGAAGCATACACATATAAAGATACACAACATATCCCTCCAAACTGCCAATATCCCAAACCCCTCCTTTAAAGTGCAGGCATTGTACTTCCCATTTCCAGGACTCAAGTCCGACTATATGAAAATAACCGGTTTCCCTGAATTTTTTTTTTTTTTTTTTTTCAACAAGTCGGTCGTCTCCCACCGAGGCAGGGTGACCCAAAAAAGAAAGAAAATCCCCAAAAAGAAAATACTTTCATCATCATTCAACACTTTCACCACACTCACACATTATCACTGCTTTTGCAGAGGTGCTCAGAATATAACAGTTTAGAAGCATATACGTATAGAGATACACAACATATCCCTCCAAACTGCCAATATCCCAAACCCCTCCTTTAAAGTGCAGGCATTGTACTTCCCATTTCCAGGACTCAAGTCCGACTATATGAAAATATAACCGGTTCCCTGAATCCCTTCACTAAATATTACCCTGCTCACACTCCAACAGATCGTCAGGTCCCAAGTATCATTCGTCTCCATTCACTCCTATCTAACACGCTCATGCACGCTTGCTGGAAGTCCAAGCCCCTCACCCACAAAACCTCCTTTACCCCCTCTTTCCAACCCTTTCGAGGACGACCCCTACCCTCTTTCCTTCCCTATAGATTTATATGCTTTCCATGTCATTCTACTTTGATCCATTCTCTCTAAATGACCAAACCACCTCAACAACCCCTCTTCTGCCCTCTGAAATAATGCTTTTATTAACTCCACACCTTCTCCTAATTTCCACACTCCGAATTTTCTGCATAATATTTACACCAACATTGCCCTTAGACAGGACATCTCCACTGCCTCCAACCGTCTCCTCGCTGCTGCATTTACCACCCAAGCTTCACATCCATATAAGAGTGTTGGTACTACTATACTTTCATACATTCCCTTCTTTGCCTCCATAGATAACGTTTTTTGACTCCACATATACCTCAATGCACCACTCACCTTTTTTCCCCCATCAATTCTATGATTAACCTCATCCTTCATAAATCCATCCCCGACACGTCAACTCCCAAGTATCTGAAAACATTCACTTCTTCCATACTCCCCCTCCCCAATTTGATATCCAATTTTTCTTTATCTAAATCATTTGATTTCCCTCATCACCTTACTCTTTTCTATGTTCACTTTCAACTTTCTACCTTTACACACATTCTCAAACTCATCCACTAACCTTTGCAATTTTTCTTTAGAATCTCCCATAAGTACAGTATCATCAGCAAAAAGTAACTGTGTCAATTCCCATTTTGAATTTGATTTCCCCATAATTTAATCCCACCCCTCTCCCGAACACCCTAGCATTTACTTCTTTTACAACCCCATCTATAAATATATTAAACAACCATGGTGACATTACACATCCCTGTCTAAGACCTACTTTTACCGGGAAGTATTCTCCCTCTTTTCTACACACCCTAACCTGAGCCTCACTATCCTCATAAAAGCTCTTTACAGCATTTAGTAACTTACCACCTATTCCATATACTTGCAACATCTGCCACACATTGCTCCTCTATCCACTCTATCATATGCCTTTCTAAATCCATAATGCAATAAAAACTTCCCTACCTTTATCTAAATACTGTTCACATATATGCTTCAATGTAAACACTTGATCTACACATCCCCTACCCACTCTGAAAACCTCCTTGTTCGTCCGCAATTCTACATTCTGTCTTACCTCTAATTCTTTCAATTATAACCCTAACCGTATACTTTTCCTGGTATACTCAGTAAACTTATTCCTCTATAATTTTTACAATCTCTTTTGTCCCCTTTCCCTTTATATAAGGGACTATACATGCCTCTCCGCCAATCCTAGGTACCTTCCCCTCTTTCATACATTTATTAAACAAAAGTACCAACCACTCCAACACTATATTCCCCCCTGCTTTAACATTTCTGTCATGATCCCATCAGTTTTCCAGCTGCTTTAACCCCCTTTCATTCTACGTAATGCCTCACGTACCTCCACCACACTTACAGTCTGCTCTTCTTCACTCCTAAAAGATGGTATACCTCCCTGGCCAGTGCATGAAATTACCGCCTCCCTTTCTTCCTTAACATTTAAAAGTTCCTCGAAATATTCTCGCCATCTACCTAATACCTCCCTCTCCCCATCTACTAACTCCCTACTCTGTTTTTAACTGACAAATCCATACTTTCCCTAGGCTTTCTTAACTTGTTTAACTCACTCCAAAATTTTTTTCTTATTTTCATTAAAATTTCTTGACATTTGCCTCTCCCACTCTATCATCTGTTCTCCTTTTGCACTCTCTCACCACTCTCTTTACCTTTCTTTTACTCTCCATATACTCTGCTCTTCTTATAACACTTCTGCTTTGTAAAAACCTCTCATAAGCTACCTTTTTCTCTTTTTATCACACCCTTTACTTCATCATTTTCCCCCAATCACTCCTCTTTCCTCCCTGCCCCCACCCTCCTATAACCACCCAAAATTCTGCCCCACATTCTAATACTGCATTTTTTAAAACTATTCCAACCCTCTTCAACCCCCCCCACTACTCATCTTTTCACTAGCCACCTTTCTGGGCCCAAAAGTCGCTATATCTCACCCGAACTTCCTCCTCCCTTAGTTTTTTACACTTTCACCTCCCTCTTACTTGTTGTTGCCACCTTCCTCTTTTTCCCATCTACCTCTTACTCTAACTGTAGCTACAACTAAATAATGTCCGATATATCAGTTGCCCCTCTAAAACATGTACATCCTGGAGCCTACCCCTCAACCTTTTATCCACCAATACTAATCTAATAAACTACTTTCATTACGTGCTACATCATACCTTGTATATTTATTTATCCCCTTTTTCATAAAATATGTATTACTTATTACCAAATTTCATTCTACACATAGCTCAATTAAAGGCTCCCCATTTACATTTACCCTGGCACCCCAAATTTACCTACTACTCCTTCCATAACATTTTACCCACTTTAGCATTGAAATCCCAACCACCATTACTCTCACACTTTATTCAAAACTCCCCACGCATTCACTAACATTTCCCCAAAAACTCTCTCTCTCCTCTACACTTCTCTCTTTCTCCAGGTGCATACACGCTTATTATACCCACTTTTTTACATCCAATCTTTTTTTTTACTCCACATAATCCTTGAATTAATACATTTATAGTCCCTCTTTTCCTGCCATAGCTTATCCTTCAACATTATTGCTACTCCTTTTTTAAGCTCTAACTCTATTTGAAACCCCTGACCTAATCCCATTTATTCCTCTCCACTGAAACCCCTCCCAACCCCCCCTTTAGCTTTGTTTCACTTAAAGCCAGGACTACAGCTTCTTCTCATTCATAACATCCACAATTTATCTCTTTCTTATCATCTGCACAACATCCAAGCACATTTAGACTTCCCACTTTGACAATTTTCTTCTTTTTTATTCTTTTTTTGTAATCTTTACAGGAAAAGGGGGTTTTCCCAGCCCATTGTTCCCGGCATTTTAGTTGACTTTTACAACACGCATGGCTTACGGAGGAAAGATTCTTATTCCACTTCCCCATGGATATAAAAGGAAAATTAATAAGACCAAGAACTATTAAGATAAAATCAAAGAAAACTCAGATGAGTGTGTATAAATAAATGTGTACATGTATGTGTAGTGTGACCTAAGTGTAAGTAGAAGTAGCAAGACATGCCTGTAATCTTGCATATTTATGAGACAGACAAAAGACATCAGCAATCCTACCATCATGTAAAACAATCACAGGCTTCGTTTTACACTCACTTGGCAGGACGGTAGTACCTCCCTGGGTGGTTGCTGTCTACCAACCTACTACCTATAAAGGCATAAAAGTAAAATAAAAAAAAAGATGAACGATTGTAGGGCAAGGGAGAGCAGATATGTAGACACATACCTCATTAATAGTTTTAGTGCATCACTAATACAGAACTTTTCAATTACTTTTTTATTTATTTTTTTTTAACGGCCATTTCCCACCGAGACGGTGATCCAAAAAAGAAAGAAAAACCCAAAATGTAAGGAAAAAAACTCGTCCGTCAACACTTTCACCATCATTCCTATATAATCACTGTCTTTGCAGGGGCACTCAGATATGACAGTTTAGATGACACTCCAAACAGCCAATATCCCAAACCCCCCTTTAAAGTGCAGGCATTGTACTTCCCACCTCAAGGACTCAAGTCTGGCTAACCGGTTTCCCTGAATCCCTTCACAAAATATCCTGTTCACACTCCCACAGCTCATCAGGTCCTGAAACCCATTCACTCCTATCCGACACACTCACACACACTTGCTGGAATATCAAGCCCCTCTCCCACAAAATCTCCTTTACCCCCCTCTCTCCAATCTCCTAGAACGACCCCTACCCTTCCTTCCACTACAGATATATATATGCTCTCCAAGTCATTCTGCTTTGTTTCATCCTCTCTAAATGGCCAAACTACCTCAACAACCTCTCTTCAGCCCTCTGACTAGTACTTTTAGTAACTCCACCCCTC